TTACTGATTCAAAACCCCAAATCCAATGTTCAATCACAGCTGGCTTGAATCAGAGTTTGAAAAGGCTCAATGCTGATGGTGATTTGCACATACCCATGAATCATGGTGCAGAGCAGACCAAAGGAAGCCTCGGATGTCCGCTACGAACATTTCAGGGAACAGACGCTCAACATGTCACCGGGTGGAAATTCGAATACTACATCTTTGGATGGCGACTTAATCAAAATTCGAGGGCATGGCCAATCAAGTGAATCGGGTGAACCGTGTATGTCTTCTTCCTATCTGCTGCGTGGATACCTGAAACAATTGCCATCAGGATCATTGACTAATGTGGAACATTGCGGTGACACGTCTTGGATGCATGAGTGCATTCGCTTAGATTGTCAAGCAAGGTACTTGTGATAATAGCCTCATGTTTTGGGCGTCTAGTGAGGGGGTGATTCTATGAAGCAGGTTTAAAACAACCCATCACACGCACCTCCGCAACTTTGAGCAAGACGCCATCCCCCTCAACTGTGCTGCAGCTCCACTAAAATGGCGGCGCTCATCCCAAACATCACGCCCATTCGAGCATTTGAAGATCACGAGGATCGCGTGGTTGCAGTCGTGGTTTGCAAACCCCAAGATAGCTACGATGAACGCATGATCACGGGCTCGTATGATGGAATGCTTCGTCTGTGGGACTTGAAAACAGGTGTAATGTTGATGAAGATGGAGGGGCATAGCAGTCGAGTGCGGGGATTGGCTGTTTCACGAGATGGGAAATGGATAGCCAGTGGCGATGAGAGTGGAGAGCTCATCGTCTGGCATGGAAACACTGGAGAACTCAACCAAAGAATCAATAAAGCCCACAACGGCTGGATATTTTCACTTGACTTTTCATCGGATTCTAGGATGCTGGCCAGTGGATCATCTGATACTACCACGAAGCTATGGGATACATCAACGTGGCAGGTGCAACATACACTCAATTGTGGTGGAACTGTCTGCTGCATTCAGTATTCGATGGCACAGCACTATTCGTCTGCACATCTTGCGATTGCAACGGACTGTAATGTGCAAATTTATTACAATCTCTACAGTTACCATCAAACACAATCACCCATGTTGCTGATGACATTCCGTGGAGGATTCAACTACTCACTCACGTGGATGCCACATGATGGACGGCTTCTCTTGGGGCGTAATGGGGCTGATCCTACCATACAAGAGTGGGATACATCGACCTGGCAGCAAGTCGGTGATCCCTGGAAGGGCCATTTCAAGGATATCCATGCCATTCCCCTGAACTCTAGCGGCACTCTCCTTGTCTCCACGTCTCATGACAACCGTGTCCACCTCTGGCGGCTCTCAGATCGACGAAATATTGCCATATTTAAGCACTCTGGGGAGGTGAACTGCGTCACATTCTCTGTGAATGGCAATCACGTCCTCAGTGGAGGTGTGGATAAAAAGATCTCAGAGTGGCCAACATCCGAGGATGCTTTGTCAGAGGGTGGTTCAAAGGACGGTCTCATGAAGGAGCAGGGGACGCATCAGGTACATTTGTTTTCATTTTTCCTACCCATACATCATCTAAACGTCTTTTTCATGCCAAGGCTCAAGCCTACTCTGATTTCAAGGCATGCTTCCACCCTTAACTGTTATAACGCAACATGAACGTGAGCTACGCAGGTCATCGCTATGAACTCGACAGTCTGCAACGCATGCATAGTTGGGGACTGGCCTACTGCTGAAAAGGTGCTGAATCAAGATATCCGCACTGACGCCAGCGATCACACTGCTTATGCCAATCGCGCATTTGTTATGGCGCGAAAGTATGACTGGGCCCAAGCATTTCGAGACGCAATTCGGGTGAGACTGACTGACCAATCATGACCCCTCTATAAAGGCTAACCTTAATGATGGCATAGTCCGTCAGCATTCAGCCATCGTTGGCAGGCCATATCTCTGAGGGCATTGCCCTCTGCGGAAAAAAGCAGGTTCTGGCCGCCAGAATTTCATTTGACCTCGCATCCATGTTCACGAACCGAAATTTGAAGACCAATCACTTCCTTTTCTTGATCAAGGCAGGCAATATGTTTCCACCAAACTCCATCTTTCTTATGGTTTTTAGGCCATTGCATTGTTCAATGCAAATGAACATCAAGAAGCAATAATTCGCATCCGAGAGCTAGCTGCGTGTCCCAGTGTCGATCCTGTTGCTTGTTGTGTCGTGGAAGTAAGCTTGATCACACCAGCTTCATGTGTTGTCGTTGATTCTTGCCCTTCGTAAACCAGGCCTACCTGCGCGTCCAACTAGGAAAAATTGCATTGGACGGTGCACGCTACAATGAAGCTCTTGAACATTTCACCGCCGCTGTCAATGCTAGTACTTTCTTTTACAAATCGCCAATTCATTTGATGTATGATGAATTTATTGTGGTACGCTGATATGATGCAACCGAACATTATTTCGTGCTCACCTGCGTGTTTTCTGCAGCTATTCGGCTGGGACCTCCAGTCTTTGTGGCACACTGCGAACCAGCAACAGTGTTATGCACTATTTCGAACAAACAGTTATAGAGCAGCCCTCGAATCTTACCAGTCCATGATGGATAAGATCGATGAGGATATGAAGGCCGACTTATGCGCTTGGTTCGCTGGTAAGTATTCGGTAATGTCTCCGTCTACAATCATTAACTATACTTCACTCAGCTCTGAAGTGAAATAGAAGCGCGCTCTATGCTTCCCATGAAGATGATATGCTTGCAGCGAGCGGTTACTCTTCGTTAGACATCCCTGAGTAGTTTTCATCTGTACCTTGATGGTAGCTTTATTGCCTTGATGCTCGTTGCGATATATTGGCTCATCTGAACATCTTTACCCTATGTTTCCAGGTAGCTTTACTTTCACTTGAAACTACTTCTGAACATCGTCCCGCACGCCTGATGTTGCAGGCTGTGAGCTGAGTGCGATGATCATATGTGTATTCTAACTTGTTGTGGATATTTAATGAGAAACATTAATGTCTGATGGTCTTCTTCCTGCACTCTGCCTATCCCACAACGTGGTCCTAAGCCTTACCAAGGCGTGGCACCAGTCCACAGTGTCATAATGATACAATAAATACACAAGTACTGTCATTATAGGTGACCAGCAATGGCCACTGTAGGTTAAGATAAAAAAGCTCGTTTGTTCTCCATCACGCACAAACCCATCTCGATGTAAATTGTACCACATTCTAGAATGGCATGTATCGCAGGGGAAATGAAATGAGCTTACTTTTGCTGACAGTTGATGCTATCATTCTGATGAGAGCTTATTCGGCGCTGCGCACTTCTCCACACGGTACCCGTCAGATTGTCTCACATCTCCAATGTGGAGTTCTTCGACAGATCTCAGAACAAACATTTTCATTTTAAGCCTACCGTCGTTAGCATCACTAATCGTGAATTTGAACAGCTACCGCAGCTGGAATGCATATAAAGAAGGACCTTACGAGTTGGTGAAGCATAGAGTAAGACATACCACAAATGGTTCGGTACGGGAGTGGCATATCATGATGAGCAACATGAAAGATTTGTGATTCGTTCATAACATAAACTTCTGCGAGATGACAAGGTGGCATGGCTGTGATTTCCTATAGTCTAACACTTGCTGCATCGATAAACTAGTAAGTAGCTCAAAGCTTGACGAGTTCGTTCGTTAAATGTTCAAGTGACATGCAAACTCACGAGCATGCATCGTCTACATCGAGGAGTTGAATGGAAGACCTGGAAGGGGATGAGCAGTTTTGGAAGGGATGGATTCTACAATAGCATGGCATGAAATTCTATAAATAGGACTGGACGCTGCTCACCGACGACAAAACGAGATCGCTGTCTCCAAATTCACCAAGACTCCAATGAATGAACTCATAGGTCTCATTCCGGAATGCGTAATCTGAGTGAATGCCTATGATGGATATTCTATAGGTCAATTATTCGTAAGCAGGACATGGCTGATTCCTCAAGTGGGATTTTGACATCAGCGCTCAGCGCTCAGCCTCCGTCACATACGGAGAAAGCAGGAGCATTCCATAGATTACTCAGAGCAAGCCAAAATGCTATCGCAACCAGAGCTATGCATGTCAGATAGGCTAGACTCAAGGGGAGACAAGCTATTCATCACGACAAATCATGATCTGCGCCCGAAAATCATGTGGCGGGAATGTGAGTTGAGACTTCAACAAGAATGTGATTTGTATGTGGTGCCCTTGAACTCACCAGCTGCTGCACTTTGATGATCTCAAGAAAGGTGACTCGGAATATTAATCATGGGCCGCTGTTCGACTGTAGGGTTGTCTTTGGCATTTAGCATGGCAAAACCGGAAGGATACAGGCCAGTTAATCTACCACCGGCACATGGTAGATATCTTGGAGATAATCGCGACGAAGCAAGTCGAGTTGAACGAGCAAGTCAAATCGGCTGTCACGGTCACGAATCTGGATAGAGTCATTGATGGTATAGCCTGAGATAAGCATGAGAACATACTAGACAACTACATCAGGCATTTGACCCCGGTCTGACAAAGATTTAGCTTGTTTTACCTAATACACAATATTGAAAATATCTATCATAATTGCAGATCAAATGATTAAGGAATAGATAGGCAGCCTTCAGTGGAGGAATCCACCACCACTGACATAGTGCCAGGGTGCGAGAATAGGCTATCATGCCATACCTGACTGCTGAGTTTTGACAATACATGCCCGACTTTAGATAGGCAGCCTTCCGTGGAGGAATCCACCACCACTGACATATTGCCAGGGTGCGAGAATAGGCTATCTTGCCATACCTGACTGCTGAGTTTTGACAATACATGCCCGACTTTAGATAGGCAGCCTTACATAGAGCGGTTCTGATCAGATTCATCAAGTTTAGACTCAAGGTGCTACACTGGAGATTGCGGTCATTTCATAATCACATTCATTAGATTCACAGGCTTTACAACATTACTATAGAATATGACAAATTAACTAATTAGCACAAGCAGTGTTTCGTTCTCGCAGGGCAGCCCGTTTTTCCTGAATTTTGGATAATGCGCTGTTTTGGCTGATACTTCGCTGCGAGCAGGAAGAATTTGGAAAAACCTGACTGTAGATGAGTTAATTCAGCGCTTCAAGATGTGAAATCTGTTACGGACCGAGTCCACCACGTCATCAGGTCAGTTACTTCCTGGATTTCATCAGGATCGTCCAAGAGGTCAAGGATAGTATGGTAAAAATTCTCAGAGTCCGTGACAGTGTCGGTATGTGAAAACACTGAAGATGAACTCAGAGAAAACCGAACCTGAAGGAATGAGTGAGATAGGCATGTATTATCAAAATTCGAACACACCTGTGTAGCAATATACGCCAAGGACCCTTTAGTTACAGATTTCATGCCATGGAGATATGCATTACTGGAGCGCGTAGCTTTTGGCTCCTTGTCTACGGAGCTTGGAGACGTGAATACGTGTTTGAAACCCTGCTGAAAATATTATGTTGCGTTGGAATTTGATGGCCGATGGTGAACTCACGAAGATAAGTAAGTCGCTCCTCAGTAAACCCCTCCACGGATCTTCTGGATCATAGACGTACCCTGCATATAAAAACATGGGCCATTGGTCACCGCGCACTGCCGTTTCACCGCTTTTAAGACTTTGTTTGGTCCTGGGTAGCGTTAACATCATTAGGCTATTACAAACTCGAAATGCTCACTCTGCGTTGGACCAGTCAAGACCTGCAGGGCAGAGCAATGCGCCAGTGACTTCATGATTGAACCCGCGGTCAGACTTTATGTTGCACGAGAGGGGCGGTATCACCGCCTGTCCTCTGGGTACAAGCCATTCGAGGACAGCGGATTTGAGAGTCTTCGTATCGTCGCCTCACGCACCAGATGCTCCTTTGCCCATCTGCAAGAATGTGACTATCATAACAGCACAGAATTAAAGACCTACCAGTTCTCCTATGTGAATGACATCCTCCTCGTCACCATTTGTCAGGCGTTCTAGAAGACCAGGGTATGAGTCTATCAGTTCCATAAATACCCTGTGTTCTCATCTAATACTAGTGTAAAAGAACGTCAAGGCACTGATGGCATGTGATCACTATACTCGTACTCACTCCGCCGGGTAATCCTCTATCGGGGAGTCTTGCAATTCTTGGAGTCGAAGTATGCCAGAAGTCAAAAGAGCAGGATAGTTACATAATGCAAATACCGTCCGGCCAAAATGTCGCCCATGAAGAACAAGGGGATTCGAGGAGGTTCTGATTGAGAAAAGTCAGGAAGATAATGTCTCGACGTGAAAGACCACTTACGCCTTTTTGCGCGGGCCCATGTAAAGTGCTGAGCCGCTATGCTTGCGCGAACTACCGCCAGCAGTGGAGTTATTCTCGTCGCCGCTCATACTACTACGTGGAAGGAACTAGGGTCAAATATAAGGAGCAAACGAGACACTTTATATACCTCCAAAGTCTTATAAAAAAAACCTTGACGGCATAATTGCCAAGGCGGAGAACAAATCGCGCCATCTTCGCACCATCTTCCACGCCATCTTCGCGCCATCTTCTGCGCCATCTCAATTGGATGGCCCACCGCCGTTCCTGCAATCTAAAAATTATAATTGTGGGGATACATAAGCCGAGACGGTTGCAGCAACTACCACCTACATCATGCACAACGACGCATCAGTTGGACCTGAGACGCCTCACTCACCCTCCCGGGAATGTTTACGACAATGCATCCACATAGGAAGGAACGTCACGCTAAGGTGGGTCTTTTTCAGAGCGAGGTAGAAGTTAACAAACAAATCACGTTCACCTCGAGCTTCCATCTTTCATCACAGTGCTCTAATGTAGATGAGCCATCAACCAACACTGATTGCAAGTCAGTGACAACATGGCAAAGACTAACTCAGACAAGACTTATGGTGCAGGCAGTTCTATCAAAACAATCGATTAGTCCATAGAGGAACGCAGATGACAGGTGAGATCTCACATTTAAAGACTGTTAAGTGTACGACAAGTCTAACAAAATATTCACCTAGTCACAGACGAACCATATATGAGCAAATTGGAATATGAGTTGCATCAAGTGAAGGAACAACTGAGAGATACGGAAAATCAGGTTGCGGCCCTTTCAGATAAGGTGATGACCTACAGGTATAGATGGCTTGAAGAATACTACCGCGCCGACAACCTCGAGCACCATATGCCTTTTGACATCTACGTGCCTGTCCTTGGTCAGATTGCAGCAGGTGCTCCATCTCCCACTTACTCCTTGGAGTTCTTGGAGTATAATGAAGCGGGCGAAGTTTCCGGTGAGGAGCATGGTGAAGAAGAGCATCTTTGAACAATGATTTCTGAAATCAGCATGCATTACCGATAGTCGTACTTAGGAATTTGATTATACCTGAGGCCTGAACATTGGTAAACACGCGATCATTATGATCAACCGACATCGGGTTTTTTCAGAAGGCCAGACTTTAGCTAATCAATCTTGTCTTAGGATATGGGTACATAGTATTTCCAAATCAGCGCTACTACTAAATGCTAAGATCTAAGGCACATCGATGGATGCAGAAAACTAGAGCGTAAGGTAAGGTACAGTAAGTGCCATAGTGGGGAAGCGAAAGGAAAGAAAGAGACGAAAGAATAGGCATGACACTATATAGTGAACGACATATTCAAACTCAGTCGGAATCTAGCGCTCCGCTTCCAAATCGGTCATTGCCAGCTGAGTTTGAATATGTTGCATCCATTGCGTTATTCTGAGTGACTCAGGCTGGTCACAGTACATTCCTATCCCTATTCTCGCGCTATTTTGTATCCCAAGGGATGATTGATTGATGAAGGATGGGTTTGGGTTTGAGAAATGTCGGGTCCAGGCATACCCGTAGGGTCATTGTATTATATACAGTGTATGGCCACCAAGTGTGTACCGGCCCGGGATGGGTGTATTCCTGACGCGTAGTTACCATTTCGAGCGGAGCCACCAGCACCCCTCGGTGGCACATCATTATTACCAGGTTCAAGTTTTATTTCAATTGTTACTACTCAATATCATACTGTTATAATTCGGACATATAAAACATAAACCATTAACTGCACTGGTCAGTCATTGGGCATATAGTATGTGAGATTTATTTTTGCTATGGACATAATATTGACCCACACGGTGGCTGCAGTCTGATACATAATCATGTCCACTGCCAGTGGCAAACGCGCTGTAGAGACTCGCGCGTCTCAATGACGAAATATCCGGCCTTTAACCATACATTCCTATATGTTACAGCTCTACTCCTAAGGACCAGTCTCGCGCGAACTCGCGCGCGCCTTATCCGAACTCGCGCGCACTTAGGCGCGCCTTGCCTACGCACGCGCTATGCGCGCTTCGCGCGCGCGTTCGCGCACCTCCTCATAGGTCTTCGCACTATCGTCCGTCCATCCGTCCCATGTCCTTACTGATTCGCTGGTGCGTTATTTCTATCTTATCCATTGAACTAATAAAATCTTCGGTCCGACATCCGCGCTACTTATGGAAAGTTTATTTAAACTTAGTTATAATTAGAGTTGATATGGTTACTCGGTTCGGGAGCGCGCTCGGAAGCGCGCCTTCTCCATTCTTAAATACAGAAGGGTTTCCTTTGGGTTCTGGTACTTACTTTTCCCTTATCTTTGTGTACTGGAAAGTGAATAGATCACCTCCCCACTTGTTATCAGATCATATCCTCCTGTCAATCCTCCACCTTTGCACTCACTCCTCAGTAAGATCTTGCCTCTAACGCTTTAGGCGCGCCTTCGCTTCGCGCGCGCATATTCTCGGACCTCCCGCTCACGCGCGCATCTCGCGCGCCTTATCTTCTCGCGCCTATTAGCGCCCGCCTAGCTCACAGAGTTTCCCTCCACTTTATTTCGAGGAACTTCTCTCAGTGGTTGTCCTTTGGGTCGAGTCGTTGTCTCGTATCCCGGTCTTGCTGTTGAGCACCCCTTTTGTTTTAAGTGTTTTCACGTATAGTCAAGATTCCTCATCTACAGCGCACTGGCAGCACCCAGTGATGATGAACCTGCCACGAAGCACGTCAGAATTAATCATGACGGTGAGTATAATGCACTTTTGTTAAGATTGTCATCCATGAGTATGTTCCCATGGGATAGGGAATTGGCGGACGCCAGTGTTATCACCTCTGTCGGACGAAGGCAGCTGGTGCATACTGGAACAATTCCTTACCACGGAAATGACATACCCTCAGATGGAAGAGGCTTTGTTATCGCACCTCGGCCCCCAATACTCAGCAGACGACTGGAAGGACGCCCGAGACGCCTTGTTCTCCGGTGATGGCAATGACAGTATTGCATTGGCGAATCTTCTGGCCTTGAAGGCCAGGTACATGCCTCAGGCCTCAGATGGTCCATCGAAAATGATGCATCCAGCAAAAGCTTCTCCCGCAGGCGCCTTCGTGTCGAAGACGGATGGATACTCGTCAAGAACTCGAAACCATCGATCGCGTAGGCGATCCAACATACACGAAATAATATTATTGAATGATTTATTGTGCTAAAAAAATGTAGCCCTTCATCCTCGACGAAGCCGAGGAGGGTGATGATGAGGATGAGGACGAGGACGAGGAAGGGGATGGGGATGGGGATCATCGAGCGCGTAGGAGGCAAGCCAATGTACGTGAAACGCCCCTTTCTAAAAACTCTTACACTAAACCCGAAAACGTAGCCTTTTATCGATGACCAGGCAGGGGAAGATGAAGATGACAGTCTTTTCGACGATGAGACAGGGAGTGAAGATGGCATTATGAGATTGCAGAACATGACATGCTTGACAGGACCATCGGCCAAGGACACATTGGCTGTAGCGATCGATAAAATCTTCGTCAAGTTCGGAGAGAAAAACATCAGTTCTTCGAAAGGACGCCTTTCTTACAGGGCTGCTCGGTTCCCTGACACAAGTAAAAGTAGGACATATCTTCTTCATGTTCACAGTGCGTCTATTTTATGATCATGTAACCTGTCACTCAGCACATCGTAGGAACTGCCACGCCATATATCGCGGAGCACCTAAGTAGCAAGGGATTTTCTGTTATCGTGTCAGCCTGGGTACCAGGTCAGCTGTACGTGGTTTTGGATAGCCCCAGGACCATCGCAGCTTCGCTTCCGACTTCCTATAGTCTCTCCGTGAAACAGTATCTTCTCATTTTGGATGAAGAATTTGGAGTGGTGAAACATTCCAATCTCAAACTTCCAAACCCATCGTGGGTGAGGATCAAGCACGGTAAATATAAGGGTGACATCGGCTATGTGTTCGACTCAGAACAATCGACTGGTTTTGTGGTAGTCTTGATTCCTCCACGAGAATTCCCATATTCAATGCCTCATGGATCTAAGGTGCTCCTCGACCGATCTCGCCTTCCGAATGACAATAGAGTGTCTGACATCATTCATGACGAAAAGGTCGTAGGATGGTCGTAGGATGGTCGTATAAAGGAGAACGGTACTATATGGGACTTTTACTCAAAAAATTTCACTGTTCTCTCTTAGAACTCGTCGCCTCCCCTCACGCTGATGACATTCGACTGCATTTCCACTCCGGGTGGGACACATTATTTGTCAAGAAGTCTATTGCGTCATTTTCCATGCAGTTTTTGCGTGTAGGCGATGCGGTCAGAGTTCTCAGAGGCGAACTTTATTCGAAGATAGGAACGGTCGTGTCAACCGACTATATATTTGGTTCTGCGCACTTAGAATTTACCTTTGACGGCCATTGAAAAGAAATTGACCTGCGACTCAAGGACTTAGAGCGCATCTTTCGGGTTGGGGACACAGTTCGAGTCGTGGCAGGTTCTTACTTGGGCGTGGAAGGACACATCATTCAGATATTTGATGATATCTGCCACGTTTGTCAAGCGGTATCGAAGGAAGAGGTAGGTGTCTCATATACACCTTGTGATGCTGTCTGACATTCATTTCGAAGTTGCAAGTTTCGAAGTACTACTTAGAGTGCTGTTCATTGAATCACACGTTGCACCTACGGCTACCGATCCAGCAAAAATTTGAGCCTTTCCCCGACTGCGACTCGATACAAGTTGGCGATGAAATAAAAGTACTTGCAGGAGAGCACATGGGGAAATATGGGGTCATAGAATGGTTTCCTGTGGGAGACACCCAATTGTGGTTCCGAGATGCGAACCCTATATTCACTGGAGACGATATCTCCACACTGCCACTTATTAAAGTTACCGCGACCTTTGTTCGACAGACGCACATTGCGCAGACAATGAAATTTATGAGGGAGCGGGGTTATGATGTCAGACCCGGAGACTTCGTGAGTGTAGCTCGCGGGCCGGAGTATCAGACAAAAGGTGTTGTTCAAAGTGTCGACTTCCGGAAGGCTCATTTGACGCTGCTGTCTGAAGGCAATGCTTCTCTTGTAAGTTCCCTTCGACTGGATTTGAGCTATCTCTAATTTGTGACAGATTGACGTTCCAATTGGATTCGTCATGAAATTAAGCAATGCGGACTTGGATTCGTTGAAAGAGATCATTGGTCAAGAAGTACTTATTGTTGGAGGTGACTGGAAAGGCTTCCGAGCCACGCTATATGGTCTCGGGAGTGACCTTTGCACAGTTGCTGTGCATGGGCAGGCACGTATCACTTTGAAAAATCAAGACATTGTTACCAGGTGAGAAACGAGCTAATTTTCATGTTGATTTGATTTAATGTTTACGACTGCTAAGTTATGGTATGAGGCTCAATGGTGCAATACTTGAAGCACCAGATCTAGCTTCATTCTGCGAGATGCGAAAAAGATCGTACTTGCCATCACCGCATCAAAGAAACATTACGCCTCCTGAACGATTTCCTCCCGCTAGCCGCACAGATTCCAGCCTGTCGTCACCTAACATGTGGACCACGTGGAACACCAGCGCTGAGGGTATCCATATCGCAGACAACCCTTCCTCGAGTGCCCATCCCAGCTCGTCAACATTTGACCCTTGGACTCTCAACGCCCAAGACATCCAAGATAACATTCGCGCCAATTCTGAGGAACTCTGGGACAGTGGTGAGTCGTCAACGAAGGCAACACAATATCTATCTTATCTCATCACAGGCCCCCTACCTTGGTTGATGAGTCGAGAATTTTCTTCGACGTTCCTTAAGCATCACGCAGTGTTGAAAGTCTCCCCGAGCTTCATGGGTGGCAGGCTACACAAACGGTTTGTATTCACTGCCGTTCCTGACCCATTCTGCAGCACGAATGGACCTGCACCCACGGGCTGCATCTCAGCATTTTGTACATCTAACAGCGCAGGCGCCGCGCTTCAACACTACCATATCCCGGCTAAGGATCTCCATCTAGCTCCTCCACGCAAAAAAAACCAACGGTGCCTTGTTTTGGATGGTGATTCACGCGGTCAGATCGTAACTGTCGCGAAATGCAATGCTAAGAAAAATACCATCGATGTGATTACCGGTACAACTTTCTTCACTCTACGTTTCGATCAGATTTGTATGGTGGAACAGGGACATGATTTTCCTTGACTCTTAACTACTATTGATCTATAAACATACATCCCCTGGACTTTGTAATTTTCAGACGCTATCCGTTGATTCTGACACTACATTACCGATTCATGTAATGACAAAGCTATACGTTAATGTCTACTCTTAGCAGTACATGCATTCCCCTCTTTTATAGCATGATCTCGGTGTCGTTGTTCTTCAGAATAGTAGCAGATAGATTCATGAAGAATTCCTATTCGTCAGTACTCCAGACTCTATTTACTTTTGGCGTCAATATAGCTTCTGCGGAAGACAGTATCTGAATCCATCTCATGGATGCACAGATCACTATTGGTCCTGACCATCGTTTATGAGGACAGCAAATTTACTCATACTCTCTACCTCCGAGTTTATGTGTCTGCAAACAAGAACCGACTGAAGGAGAGAGCCTTGTGTGTGTATGAAGATTTAGCTCCGTGGCAGTAGTAACGATGCTGCAAATGTCGGGTGTTGCCGGTGGAGTTGAATTTAGAAAGTCAGTCAGTATATAAACCCTATACATTTGAGTTATTCTTGTTTTCGACCTTTTGCTATCCACTATGATGTTTAGTACGATGATGCCTTGATTAAATTAGAATATGCGAATGTGTTTGTTGTTGAACGTTGAGCACGGTCAAAGGAGTGCCACAATAATGTTACTATACTTTTCACGCCACACGACGCAAGATGGTGAGATACGATACACACACCCCCGTAATCAACATATCTGATGTACCCGGATTGATGAAGCTTGAAGACCACTACTCGATCGGCCGTGTAGGTCCTCAGATCTCGTGCAAATTGTATAAACGCAAACACGAGTATCACATCAATATGTGACAGACGTCAAGCAGTTTGCACCACATGCATGCTGGTTGCTAATCATACGGCGGATGCGGGCACAGCGGTTGCTGGTCTCTAAGCGTATGAGCATGCGGGGACGAGTGTAAACGAGAACACAAGGATACCTCTGCGAGGATAATAAATGGCAGGTACGCAGGCTCTTCCGAAGAATTTGTGAATATTGACTAAATTGAAGATCATCCACCATTCTTTATTTGGAGGTAGCCAGCTTACCCATGTAACCGCAAGTGCTGGTGGCGCATTCCGCAACATACTCACCTCAACATATTCCTTCAGTTCTCTCAAATACCGCTGCTTCAACATAACTACCACCCCTGGCGCAAAGGCAAGATGGGTAGCGAAATAAATGTGCCTTGTGGTAAGTAGCGAATCGTGAAGGGTGGATCTTATTTCCATATTCGTCGTTCGGCCTTAAATTCAAGTGTACATGTGAGTCTACAAATGTTTTATATGAGGGCGATGTGTTTACCATTGATATGTGGCCAGTTCTCCCGTTTGCCCATGGTAATGCAGTATACCATGGTGTGCTATTAAGATTTTCACCAACATGCTGACGACTTTAGGGTCGACTTGGAATTCCGGGGGTTCGAGATCTGAGCATGTAGAACATGGGGAGGATGGTGCGGACATCTCAGGGCGCATAGATGGAAGACTCATGTCAGATTTCAAGTGTTATATACATCTGCGGCGATTTACATTTGTCACAGCACATGAAAATATGGCAATGATCGCATATGGTAATTATCACTCCATCGCAATTATGGCATTGCTTAATTTCGTGCCATCGCAATTAGCACGCCTTAGCTATAAGCGCGCCATCCCATCCGCTTTCAGAATTTGTCTGGTCTATTCTCTTGCTTTCATTCCCTCATGTCATCTTTCGGTTATACCTGCGTTTGCAAGTGAATGTTCACGGCCCAGAATTACTTCAGCCTACACCAGCATTCATGCCCCCAGACGAAAAAATGTCTGTCGTCGGCAATATCATCAATGAAGGAGTTTGCAAGCCGCAGGAAAAGGTCTCGCGTCTCGAATGATGCGGCTGCTCCGGTGGAGCTGGCCAGAGCGCCTGATATAGAGTCTCACGCTTCAATGTTGAATGTTCAAGATATTCCTCTGCCTAACGCATCCCTTGCTCCTGCCCATGTAGGCATGGACATTGACGAAGACATGTGTTTGGCACAGCGTAGACCGAGACATCAAAACCGTCTCATGCCCAAGAGATTTAGAGATGTACTGCCTCAGCCTCCACCTACTGTGCCTGTGGAGGTGCGGGACCAACCTCCGGAATCTGTTGGTTCTGTTGTCACATCTGACGAACGCTCTGCTTCACCTGTGCGCACTGTATTTCGTACTCCCCCAAATATTTTTGGGCTTGTGCGTCAATATTTCTCTTCGAAACCGCCATCCCACGATCCGGAGGAGGTCATCACTATGGCAGACCTCTCATTTATTCCAGGCAGCCCTCACATCCTCGAAGATGCCCACACACCTGCTCCTTCGAGCCACATCTCTCAATATCACCCCTATCCCAATCGTGCATCATTCCAACTTGGGGACTGGTATTGGAACCAGGGTGTGCAGAAGTCACAAGGAGACTTTGCAAAACTGATAGAGATCGTGGGCGACAGCACATTCCAGGCCACTAACGTGAGCTCCACCCAATGGAAGAAAATCAACTGTAAATTAGGTGCCAATGAGTATGATGAAGGAGATGGAGAGGAATGGGAGGATGAGGACGCTGGATGGCAGAGCACACCAGTTTCCATCCAGGTTCCTTTTTCTCGCACCACTGACACGCCAGGCCCTCAGCTCTACCAAGCCGCAAATTTGTACCATCGTTCCATCGTAGCTGTTATGCGAGAGAAGCTTGCGAACGCTCGAGATGACGCTCTTTTTCGCTACGAGCCATATCACCTGCATTGGACACCTCCGCACATGGACAGCGAAGTCCCAATCTATGGAGATTTGTACACGTCCCGGGCCTTCTATGAGGCCCATAGTCAACTCCAAGAATTGCCGGGGGATCCTGACTGTGATTTACCTCGAGTGGTGGCTGCACTAATGTTCTGGTCTGACGCCACACAACTCACTTCATTTGGTAATGCGAAACTATGGCCTACTTACATGTACTTTGGCAATGAATCGAAGTATCGTCGGTGCAAACCGTCGTGCAATTTAAGCAACCATGTTGCCTACTTCGAGACGGTACGTGTACCGAATCTTATTCACTTTCTTCGACACCTGACCTTGCGGTACCAGCTCCCAGATGCGTTTAAGGACTTTACTGGTGGAACCGGCGAAGGTGCCACTCACTGTCATTGTGAATTATTTCACGAGCAGTGGAAGATCCTGCTAGACGACGAGTTTCTGAAGGCCTATGAACATGGAATAGTCATTCGTTGTTGCGACGGCATTACGCGTCGGTTCTACCCTCGGATCTTCACTTACTCGGCTGACTATCCCGAGAAGTGCGTGAAATCATATTACAGATTGAAATCTGTTGATGCTAATCTTATCAAGAGTTCTCATTGCCACAGTTCGAAACCTGGGAGGTTGTCCTTGTCCTCGCTGCCTCATACTGAAGGATCGCATACAGAATATGGAAATGTCTCGAGATAGACAACAATGCAAGACTCTGGCACGCAATGATCAGAAACGAGGCACTATGGTTAGCGAGGCGCGGACGTTGATTTATGAGAAGAATCTAACGGTTGGCGGCGCAGCGGTGGAACATATTCTCAAACCACAGTCCTGGGTGCTGACCTCAGTGAGATTTGAACTTTGATAACCTACATAGCTAACCATCCCCTAGAATGCCTTCTCGGATTGCCTAGGTCATTTAGGATTTAATATCTTTCATGCCCTTGTTGTAGATCTCTTACATGAATTCAAGATCGGGGTCTGGAAGATGCTGTTCATTCACCTGCTGCGAATTCTTGTGGCACAAGATAAGGGTCTTATCCATCGATTGGACCAAAGGTATGTCGCATAGGTATGCGTAGCTCGTACCATTCTGCTAATCTTTGTTATCAGATATAGACAAACTCCAACATTTGGCGCGGCCACCATTCGAAAGTTCTCGGCCAATTCTTCGGAGATGAAACGCATGGCCGCTCGCAACTTTGAAGATCTCCTCCAGGTATGTGCTTTTCCCGCCATTAAAGTCAGATAGGCCACTGACGCGATTTGTAGTGCTCTATTCCTGTCTTCGATGGCCTTCTTCCCGAGCCGCACAATCAGATTGTTCTTAAGTTGCTGTATACCATGGCTCATTGGCATGGCCTAGCAAAGCTTCAGATGCATTCTGAGCTGACGCTCGAGATTATGGACCAATTGACATCAGTCCTCGGCCACCAGTTTCGCCAATTCAAGGCTACAGTTTGCGCTGCCTATGAGATGCACGAGCTGCGCCAAGAGGTCGAGGCTTGGTCCCGACGCCAGACAAAGAAGGTGGCTGTCATATCCCGTATTCCGGACCTACATCCGATAATATTCCCACGCCTCATCCGGACCTTCGGATGTCCTATCCATGTCTCCAGTACCCATCCGGATCCCTGCACCTCTGCACATCCACATCCGCATGTCCACGTCCAGATCCCTTATCCTTCGCAGCTAGCCTGCATCATTCATCCTTGTCCCATCGCCCTAATGCCACATCCTATATATCCACGCATCTCATCCAGACCATATCCGATCCGGTCCGATCCGATGTATAGATCCGTTTCCTATCCGATATACGATAAGCTTCATAATTCATTTCCTGTGCATATAACGTTAACACAGCCTATCCGGTATTCCTTGTTACCGGTACCTCGGTTATATCTATTACCGGTATGCTTACTGATCCGTTAACCTATGTTCATTTCTGACTCGCGTTTGTCAACCTTTGCATATGCTTCATACATAGCCTTGGACTCTGCTTATTGATCCTTCCGTTATTTCTCTTAGTATATAAACTCGTGTATATGTCTTGTAGTACCTCAGTCTGAATATCATATTAGTCCTTGCACTAGTCTTCACTCTAAGTCCTCATATCAGTTCTAGTCTTCCAACTTAGTTGATATCCATCTCAGGCCTAGGGAGTTTCTCCCTAGGCCAGAGCTCCGCTCCTCCGCTCCTCCGCTCCTATTCTGCTTCGGACTTTGTCCTTGCAGCCTTTCCTCTGTTTACTTCTACTCAGGACAAGTCCCGAGTAGCCATTATACATATCCGTATCAGGACGAAACCTCATTGTAATTTCCGGAAGTTCCTCCGGAACTTTCCCGCACTCATCCGGAAGTTACTTGCACCCGTCCGGAAAGTCCTTCCAAAGTTTCCCGCGCCTTCGGATGTCCTTCGGACGTCTTCGGACTTTCCTCGGACACCAATCTGAAATTAAGGGCACATACTCGGGTAAGGGGCGCAGCGCACGAGCTGAAGCCAAGCCCCTCAGAATCAGTCCTACCCTTTGTGCATGGTCTTAACAGTGGCGAAACAGAAGGCCGGGCACAAAGGCAAACAAACTGTTCCCTTCGTAGAGCAAGGCGAGGCAGATGAGTCGCAAGTATTGACTCAAAATGTAAAGCGAAATAAAGTATTCAATTTTCAAACATACAAGTTCCATGCACTGGGAGACTATGTGTCTACGATTCGCTTGTATGGCACGTCTGATTCGTATAGCACAGAACCGGTAGGTCCTCCAGCGTCCATCATTGAAACTCGTGCATTGAATTATTTTCCAGGGTGAACTCGAACACCGCTCTCCTAAGGCGAGATATCGTTGTACCGATCGCAAATCCTTTGTGAAACAACTAACTCGGATTGAACGCCGTCAGGCTCGCATTCGTCGCATTGGTGATAACATTACTCATCGCCCTCACATCGAAATTTCTGAGTTAGCAAAAAGCCCTCACGTCCATCACCACATTGGTCTAACACAAAAGAAACCCATACACATTGGATCGTACTTGGTCAACCACCAAGGTGATCCGGCTATCACAGTTGGTCTAATATTCTTTCGTCGAGACACTTTTAACATGCTTGCGAAGAACTTCATTTCCAGATTGAAGAGTCATTTATTGCGCCGAATCAACACATCACAAGGTATTCCAGGGATCGGAGATGAACACGATATCAATAAAATTATACTGAAGGATGATCGGATGTATCAGCACAACATCGCTAGGTTCAACTACACGACCTATGATGTTCGTAGGGCCCAAGATGTTATTAATCCAAGGACTTCACATTGCAATGTTATGGTGCTCCGCTCCGACAACACCATGGGGTGCAAAGGGCACAGATATATCTACGGTAATGTACTGGGCGTATATCACGTCAATGTGATATTTATTGGACACGGTATGGTCGACTACACCCCAATTCGGATGGAGTTTCTGTGGATTCATTGGTACGAGTCCATGGACCAGTACTCCACCTGGGAGACCTCGACCCTAGATCGAGTACACTTTCCGCCCCTGGTGGACGAGCACTCATTCGACTTTCTTGATCCCGCAGATGTCCTTCGGGGCTGTCACATCATACCTCGTTTTGCCCGTGGCAGAAGACACGACGACGGATTGGGTTTGTCGGCATGTGCGGGGGACAAGGGGGACTGGCATGAGTACTATATCAATCGGTAAGTTAGTTGCACCACATCATCAATCAGCGGTATTGAGTTCATTTGGTCAGGTTTGTAGATCGCGATATGCTTATGCGCTACCACTTTGGGCTTGGTGTTGGACACGTGTACTCTCACCATCGTGATGCGCAGACTGATCTCCAGCGAGATGAAAGTACAGTACAGTCTGCGTTCTCTCATGCCGGATTCGATGATGCTGATAAAGGCACAAACGAAGGGGCACATGATGGTGAAATTGGAGAGGATGATAGTAGTGAAGATGACGATGAAGATTATGATACTGCAGTGGTGGATCACACTGAACAGTACTTTAGCGGTAGCTGTGAATCGCTACTAGAGGAATATGACGAAATGTACGAGAGCGAAGTAGAGCTAGATTATGAGAATTAGATAAGAGGCCGTACTTTTTGTAATAGCGAACGTAATGGCCGTCGCTGCGTGTATTACTACTCTTGGCACCGCGATGGAGTGAACGTATTTCGGTTCGATTTTGTCTCAAATTAGAGTTTTACAGTGGTATGTACATGTAATAACTAGATGGTGCATTGAGTGCATACTGATTGGGTTCGTCAGGACTACCCCCAAAGAAAACGACTTGATGGCGCGCTAACCCGGACCAGGCCTCTCAGAATCCACTTTAAAAGCTGCTTCAGCGCTTTTCCCCCACTCAGTTCACGAATATCTTCATCTTTGCATTTTACTTCTAATCATCCTATGAATCTGGCCATCACAGAGGTCTATTGCTTCGTCTTCGATGAAGCTCTCAAAGTGATCATGCCGCGTTATGTCAGTTTTCGTACCTTCACAATTCTCTAAACCGAAGTTAATCGATTTTTTAGTTTGACTTCGACAAAACCACTGACTACGATTTTGTTGGCTACATCGCGGTAGGGATCGTCGCCAAGCTATTTCCTCTATATGTAAGCATTTGTATTTCTGACGAATGTATGTCGTCTCATTTCACCGCAGTGCCCAACGACATCCCATCAGACTGTACGTGGTTGATTTTGCATGACAGTCATATACTTATTTCCTCCTAGTTGCGTCCGTGCATAAATCAATGTGCATACATATACACGTCAATCGATCACTTTGCGGCGTTCGAGATCCAACAGAGCAAGACTGTACCTGTGTATATCATACCTGCAAGTTGAAAATCCACTTTGCCACGCCTTCCCACTGATCTGATTTGTAGGATGACCTTGTCGGGCCTTTGCATCTCCCTATGCACAACACGGTTATAGGCTTGGATGGCAAGTCCTATATGGTATACAACTGCGTAAGTCCAACTTGCCATTTTACGGGTATCTCACATATCAATATACCATAGGCGGGCCCAGATGTTCTCCGTCTCGCGCGTCATCCAAAAGGTTACTACCCGTGGTCCGGCATCGACATTGCATCGCTCGCGAACATGTCAGATTCAGGTGGTAGTGTCGATTTCAATCATCTTCCCCCCTTTGTTTCTGAAGACACATCCCTTGCCCACGACGAACCCCAAATTATGATATTGGAAGGCCTCACGAACCAACGATCACAAGGAGGTCTGTCAAACGTTTCGACTATCCCAGGTTCCTGGGTCATCAATTTAGCGAACGTGATCTCTGAGGACATTGTCAGCACACAACAATCTCAAACAGCTCAAAAAACTGTCGTCGTGCCCAAGAAAAAGAAGAAGGCCCAAGAAAAAGACAACCTGAAGTGGATCCAGCAATTCCCCAATTGGAATAAGGCCCTTGCTTATACCCGGGCCCTACTGCGATTGGCAGTGTGTCGCGGCGATGTTGGCAACCCCTACGACCTCCTGCATCAACCTGTCGCCAGGGCCGAACTTTTGCAGAATGTCTGGCCTCAGGCCCTCTGTACTGCTAACATACGCCCTGATCAATTGGAATCAGGTGGGAGCTCAAGTCCTTCGCTACTTGTATATACGCTCACCCCTTTTTAGTTAACTCACCTACCACCAACAAACATTTGACTCATGCTGAGATCTTGGTCTTCGTACGTGTCATCCTTGTTTTCAATCTACATGCTTATCTTCAAATAGATCAAATCTTGGTTGATGCTTTTCGTTTACAATGTCAAACGGTTGGTAGGATGCTCAGCCTACGAATGCTTCGGCCTCGACCACATCACTGCGAAGATCTTATTACTTGAAACGATCCATGGCATACTGCAGTGTTTCATGGAACCAAAGTCTAGTCTCCTCCCCATCAAGGTGAGTGTTCTGCAGTTCCGGGCTGTCACTCTTATTTCATCACACAGGCAAATGGTTTTGCATGGTTCCTGGGCCAACCAATGGCTAAGGAGATTGCTTGGCATGTTGTCTTCCGCCACATGTACACAAATGGTGTGACACTGGTGTTGGCGGATCTTGAACCAACAACATTCAAGGGTGCAGCCCACCCACCCATGGCCACGTTGGTGTTGATGAGCGCCAGTGTGAGTCTCCTGCCATTCTCATGGTTTTTCATCCACCGACGTGTTCATTTTCAGTGTTTCGGCGGTACCCTGGAAACGCTGGTGAACCTAGAAGGCATCAAGGCCAAAGAGATGCCTTATCCATCACAGTCTGTAATATATAGCGGACTCTTCTGGATGGGTCCAGTACTTACCGCCCAGCACCACGACTCGGATCACCCAATGCTCATGTTCAACTTGGGCAAGTTGTGTAACGTTATGTGAGTTCACATTCGATTAATGTGTTTTAGGCACTAACGGCTAATGGAGCACAGCATCACCGAAGTCGCCCGACTGGGCCGGCCAAAGAAAGCCACCACGGGCCAGAAAATAACAGTCCATAAGTAAGTGGACGGAATCGACCCTACAATCATATATGTTGTCTGCATTAGTTTGATTTGAAATGTAACGTTACTGTTAGGTTGCAAACTTTTATGTGACGGTTGAAGAGTTAAAGAGGCTCATCTTGGCAAGCAAAGTGCATCTGATACCTTGAGGTAACCACGATGCTGAAAATAAGTTCGTGACACATACCCTCTGGAGCACTAACATCCATAATTGATGATACGCAATCTACAGAACCCAACCCAACACATTTTGTGTATCACCAATCACGCATGCCATAAGCTCCTAGGCCTCGACCTGGTAATCTATATTTCCAATTAATTTAGTCGCCAGTCTAATTTTATAATTTGATTTTATAGTTTGATGGCACTGCGCCATCTTCGAGTTGCGCCATCTCTTCCAAACTAGGCCAAGCAACACCCTTGTTTCGCACCATTGCTTGAGTATAGGTTGTGTCAGCATTCAACCATCGTGTGAACATCCCTCGAGTCTTTTTCTATCCATGAACCTCAACATGTTAAATATCACATCAGCTTTTGTACCTACATACCAGACGTCCTCGAACACCTACTTTCTCGATATTGAACATACCGATAATGCCCTGAACCAATGGCTCCAGACACACGGAACTAAAGTTGTCAGTGCGCTGATCGTTTTCATGACATTACCCTGATTACTTCATGTTCAGCTTCCCGACTCCCTCTTCATCACAGCTTCTGTGCTGTTTGGATGGGTCGACCCTCATGATCTCATAGCTCTCCTTGACACGAGCCTCAGGGTGGTCACGACACAGATGCAACTCCAGCAAGAAGAGGAGAGTTGCACATTACCTTTTGTACAAAAAGAACAATGTTTGATGGAGGACAGGATGTATCGAGCTCAGATGGAAGTTTCATTATTTAGCAAGGCTATGGCGAACTTGTGTGAAGAACTAGATACTCCAAATCATTCACGTAAGTGTTATTCAGAGGATTGTGTCAAGCCCTTCAAATTTATTTCTAGCTATGTCTCCTGTACCAAAGACGCTGTCTTCTTTGGATGGCACATACGTCAAAGACTCTGACTCGGCTGATTCCAATTGTTTCAAACTCACAGAAGGTGTTCGAGAAAAATGCGAGGCGTGGCTTCTTGCATGCAACACTTCGACAGTTGGTACCAGTGCCAGCCAAATACTTCTTCATTCTCCACAATATGTAACAATTTCTCATCCACATGAACATCTCTTAAGGGTAAGGGTTATCAATGCTATGAGGGAGCGGGTTTTCTGACATCATGCAGCCCGGCGATCAACTTCTTTTCTTGCCTTCTTTCTTGAAAGCTTGGGCCAACGATATCACATATTGCTCATATGTGAGCGCATCCGTCGCCGAAACTAACCAGCTCCTAGTGCGCACCAATGACAGCGACAGCTCCAAAGTAGAGGTCAGAAAGTTGGATGTACTAAAGGCCGAATTTCACATTATGTATTTGAAAAAGAAACGCGCACAAGCCGAAGCAGACATGTTTTCTAAAGCTATAGCACACACTACTGGTGAGCATGTTTTTTTTGCTTGAGTCTCTCATGCTCAACTGTTTGTAGCTTCGTCATCTGGAAGTGCTACAGATGTATCACCACCCGATGGTCATAGCGATTGGTTTGACAATTGGGTTTCGACCTCGTCCATACCCTCCAATACCTCCTCACTCCTTTGACGTATATTTGTATCACCACTTTTTGTAGCTGTTTCGATCTCCAAACTACGATTTGCGATAACTCCCATTATTGTATTACTTTGATTTTGTTTTACGTTGGACTTGATTTATCTTATTCTTTATGAGCCTTTTCCATCGCTTTGAACATTAATTATTATATGCGTGGTTTTTCATGCCTGTCTTTGAGCTTGAGGCTTCAAAGGTCGGATACTCAGTTAATTGTTTGTGTGTCATTCTTTGCTGTGGTAGATCTCAAGATCTCCGAGTTTACCATCGACTGTATTGACAATCCCACGCTACATATCACATTCAATGACTACATACAGCAATCTTAGCCCCTCTCTGTAAAACCTCGCACTCCTCATTCACATTCGATGTCCCATGTAACGCATACGGCCTCTATGGGACAGTTGCCGATGAAGGGCAGAAAAGTAATGGTAAGCACCAGATTATGATCAACGGTACGCAGCTAACAATTTTATCAGACACAGGTGGACTTTTGGTTGGACTCGGTAAGATCGTCACACCTACTAGTACTGGCGGCTTACCCAAGGCCAGCAACCCAATGAATCGGTCATTATGCTGCCCTCCCGACGTCTGGCGGCTGTCAAAGCCAAGGTTTCCGGCATTGCAAAGAAGGTCACAAATATAGTGAGATTGGCGTTTCTGGTGAGCATCCTCATTTCTACCAGACACGCTAGGACATTCTCACAAGTTGACAATGGATTTCGTAGCCTTAACGAGTTTCAGTGAATCGTCTCCATCATGTACAAGTAGCCTGCATGACATCCCCCCCTCTCGCAATATCACAATGTAGTATATCCCACTAGGGCTACGATCAACACATTCCTAGCTGTATTTATACCATCATGCTACCTACCAGCGCTGCATCTCAAAGATTCAGCCTCCAGAATACATACACGCTATCAGCATTACTATAGTGCTAATGCAATCCTCGGCGATCACAATTTTATACTCGCAAGTGTATTTAAATCTACTTCAGTTTGAGGCTACAGTACTCGGATATATTATACTACAAGTACGCAATGTCATCATATCGGCATCGCATCCAGGCCCGGAAGTGTTTGCTAATTATTCTCAGGGTTGTTCCATTTGGGGCTATTTCGTGATAATGGTACAGTGACCATCTGACCATCATCGTGTGAACCGCCACCTACTATTATACCACCACATGTGAGTTGGCAGGTCAAACCATGACCATGACGGTACGTTCAATCGCGACTCCCATTCAAGCTACGTTCCTCAGACTCTCCTGCTAGGTCTCAGATGCGAGAATCCACCAGATCTCGGATTTGCTCAAGCGTAGCATTCCTATCTGGCCCACGCAACTTCGGCGGTACACTGAGATAGCATCGCCATGAGTTTGCGTTTCTATTACAATGAACGACAAGTACTGACCTAATTCAGTATGAATAACCCGCATCACGATTATCTCGTAGGAACCATGCAAGTCGACTTCGCTCGGTTCATGACCTGTGTTTGTGATAACGTCAATTTAACACAGCATTGACAGGAACGGAGCGCGTGGGGATTGGGTCGAGTTTGTCCACCTGTCAGGAGCTGTGTATCATCACAATGCAAGAACGGTGAGCGTTTGCTGTGATTTCAGTTTGCATACTTATCTTTGATAAAGAAAATATACACCGAAATGAATCTAACGATTTGTTCAGATGAACAATTACAGAGGCTCGAAACTTGGATCGAGGCATCAAGAACCAAGCTCAACGGGAAAGAATGGTGGTTAGTCGTTGACCCAATCTTAGTGAGAGGGAATGAGATCTTTCCATATTACTGTGTGGTCCCGGAGAGCCGCACCATCACCTGGTTAGAACCAGTGGACAGATTTCTTCTTTTTCAGGAATGCCCGGTGGTGTGGCACTGGGGTCACAAAAGTGTGTTTCTTTTTCATGCTTTGGTTCTTGAATCTGATTTCATAGGACTCGAGCTTGAGGCCCAATATTGGTGAGTAATTGATATAGGATGTCACCCTGACGCAGAACATTACTCACTTTTTGACTAGGAAACACGTCGAGTATTTTCCACGCGGGATTGAAGTGAGTCTCGCGGAAGTCAAAGCTTTGCAAATGCAGTTGAACTGGTATTGCGTCGGCAAGTTCGTTGCAATTGAGTGCCCGACCAGAATAATAAAGTAGGCTAAGAACAGAAGCATTAGCCATAGAAAAATCAACGGCGGCGGCGATATTCTGGAGCCTCGATCAAATGAAGGAAATAGCTACTGAGCTGGCCATTGCCGGTACGTACTTTCGTTTGAATCCGCATCTCCAGGTCAATAACCAATCCAGAGGAACTTGCAGGATCTAGCGGGATCATGGAGGAACCGGGTGTCGCAATATGTGGTACATGAGCCGTAGAAAACTAAAAATTGTAAATTCATGTTGAACAGGCAAATTATTGCACATACTCCGTACGTCGTTTTCTTTTGCGGGATGTTATTGATTGAGTAGTTGTAAAGGCCATCACGAATACCTTAACCATCACGGCCAACCCGAAGCTCAATTAATGCGAACCCATTCGGTTGCGGAGAGACACAGAGACTTACAAAATTCTGCCCTCATGACTAGTGTTGGAGTCGCTATGTATTGGATCCCGATGATGGTCCTCAAACGCCTCAAGAATATTTACGTTGACGGTCTTGTTAATGGAGTGGACATCAAAGGATTTACGGACGACTTCAACGCCCAGGCTAAAGCTCAAACCACCATAGTAAGTACAATATTGTCAACCCGAAGGAGGGCACTTACAACTTCTTTTGATCTGACAGGCAAGTGTTATCATGGCGGTCGATGCAAGCATCCTTGCCATCCCAGGATTAGGCACACAAGTTGCTACGAAGATATTGTGCTCTATCTCCTTCATTCTCAGTGTCTACTGCATCATCGGGTGCACCTTGGCACAACACCTTGGGTACAGATTGAGATCGCTTGACTTCGCGGTGAGATTGACCTGATGTTTTTGTGACTTAGCCTGACCATATGACTGACTCGATAGGCGTATTACTTGCAAGGGAAGATGACCACTCTTGCAATCCTGGCAAGTATCCCGAGTTTTCTATATTTGACAAGGTAAGCAAGCCTTTGATTGCAATTATCTATTACTCACAGGACCATCGTGACGCAGTTTGGCGTTTTCGATACTTGGGTTGCTCGCAGGTATCTTCACGGCTGAATTTGCACTACCCTTATCTGCCAGGATCGTGTGCGGGCTGGCCCTAACTGTTGGGGCAGGACTCGTAATTCTGTTGATTATCGCAAGTCTTGGTCCTGGACTGATTCGACAGTGAGGAACAAGGGACAATTCTCACATCATATTATCAAATTCGATCGATCCTTACCCATATTTACTTCAGCTGCTTCAAGTTGTGCATAGTTTATCCAAAAAATCTGCGACAATACCACCTGTTCATGCTGTAGTAGTACCTCTGGGATCTGGGATTGGACTGTTTGGCAAAGGCTTCTGATCCAAACAACCTTTTCGAGATCGCAAATTTTGGACCGAAAGCCACCGGAGCAGTCAGTGTTTCATGACCGCCACCTGTCCTCATAAACGGTAGCGCGACATTTTTTTCTGACAGTCCTTTGCAACATTCTGAAAGCCATGGATTCGGACTCAGACTCAGGCGAGGGAACCAGTGCAGTTCCCCGCGCGAACTGATTCAATGTGCTTCAAATATTGTCGAGCCCATTCGCTTGATTGACCGCGCATCATTTAGCATCAATCATACAAGAAAAGCCTGAAGGAAGTCCATCTGCCATCTGCTCTTGACCTCACCAAGTTCGATCATGATATTTCGGTAAGTTTGAGGTTGGTCTCATCGATCCACATGGATTGCTGAAGCAGGTCCAGGACAACGAATCCCATTTTTATCTAGCTCTTCAACAATGGTGGCAGCTCAATCTCTCCCCAGCGTTTATTCAGTTCGCGAATAAGGTTGACTCACTTTCAATATCTATGCCCATACTCTTGCATAACTGTGGACTAGGGGTCCCAAGGGAGTAGGGCCAGGGACAAGGCAGCACTTAGGCTTAGTCAAGGTCCGGAGGCAGCATTCAGGCTTAGTCAAGGTTCAGACGAAGCTTAGTCAGCAGTAGAGCACATGTTCGGAGCGGGTTGTAGTAGTGTCATCATCATCATTCTGCCACACATCGCCTCGAGTCACCTAGTCCTAGTTCAACTGGAAGGATATCATTGACTGGTGGAAAGGTGCCTTGGATGCATCAGACAATGAAGCTTTGATAGCTCTGCTTGAGTACGCCTCTCAGCTCAACACCTGATTTACTAATGTTCTCTAACCGTATAATTATTTAGCCTCCTGAATAAGTTGGCTCACGATCTACGAACCACACTTGCTCCGTCATATGCGGATTTACTAGAGGTCCTCTTGCGACTTCTGCCACAACCCATATCAGCACCCTCCCTTACAGCTCTCCTGGCGACACTCTCAGGACTATTCAGGTATCTTCTCGTACCGTCAATCAATCTCGATCTTTTGGACCATACGTGGTGTTCTTTTCGCGCGGTGCTTCCAACGTGCAATTCTGATGTCCAGCGCGCCGCAGCCGAGGTTTGGGGTTCCGTACTCCGGCGGCTGAAGAGCGTTGCGAGGGAGAGAGCTGTAATTTTGATGGCAAAGAATTTGGAAGGCATCGAGGATGCCAGCACTTGGATGATGATCTTTGCATGCAAAGTGCATATTGCTGCTCAACTTTAGTTGCTAATTTTAATACGCCTGCAGTCTATTTCCCAAACCTTGCACACCAGTGCAGGATCATCGATAGCTTCTCTCATTGACTGCCACCTGACAAATGATCGCCCTGAATTGTCGTATACACTCCTTCAACATGTGCTGACCGCTTTGATTCACCACTGCAATGGCCCGGAAGACTTTTCGGTTGTTGCGAGCCTCATCATTGATCGCTTCTGTGCCGTATCGCAGACTGGTGGTGTGAATCACCAAGATCTTCAACGTGTCATGCAAATTGCGTCTGTCATATGTGCAGTTCATCAAGGATCGCGACTGTCTAGTATGTCGTCATTATTTCTCAGTCTTGCATACCCGTTAAACTTTGTACCTGTAGCAAACCATCTAATACAACTTGCCTCAAGACTGGCGTCACTGCCGCTTGATGCTACCTCTGCATTCCGAAATTTTGAATTTTATGTCTTCACTTCTCACTGCTGGTGACATGTCAATGTCCACAGGGCCAGGACATGCATTTGTCGCTCGGGCTCTTGGTGTTCCTTCCTCCGGCTTGATGCTCTGCGGTGTCCTTGCAGGGCTAGGATGGGGTGATTGGAAGTTTGTCGGACTACCCGCCCTCCTCAAAGCAACCCCTACTCTCCTTCAGGCAGAGCACACCCTCACGTTGCGTCTTCTCGCATCTCTGCAACATTCCGGAAAGTTGGGCGAGGTCGATATCGTCTGGAAGCGATGCGTCGATAGGTGGATACAAATCCACTTATCTAGCTGGGAAATTAGTGATGAGTCGGTGGATCACTTGTACGACATCATGAGTCTCTCCATATTCGTCGACTCACTGGCGCCCTTATTGGTGCCCATCATTGAACGCGCACTAAACACACCGACACCCGAGGCGAATTGGCAAGCATCATATGCCAATGCGGCCTGGGTGATCGGAACATGCATGCAAGCTTTGTCTCGATGCAAATCAGCTTCCTGGGAAATGCAAGTGGATCCATCGGCCTGGACGGCAGAGATCGTGGAGCATTGGTCGTGGTTTGATGAAGTAATGATAGGTCTAGTCGCACTTCTCGAAGCATGGTAATTCCGTGACCTCATTCTGGTTTGTTCTTGCTGACACAAAATAGCCCTTCTTCATCTCAGTCTCTTCCAATCGCCCAATTATATTCCCGTCTGCAATCACAGCTACTTTCCCCTTCTCGAACATTGCGTTCAAATGTCTTGGCATTATTGACATCGAAGATGGTCAAATCTTCTCCCACAGAACATGAAGCGCTGAGGCGCCGTCTGCAGGGTGACGAAGTGTCCCTTGACATGCATGGTGTGCGCGAGCACGTTCTTCGAATAGGCAGATTATACCAGGTCGTGAGAGATGATGGTTCACTTTCTGCTGATATCTGTATTCGGTGGCTTGTTTGTACGTATACCGTCCCATTTATGCAGGCACTTCGCTGATGTCATATTAGCTCAACTGAAGGTCAACTTACGACCGATATGGTCCCCAGCGTCACAAGCTCTCTCTTTTGTAGCCCAGAAGTTTGGCGATGTCGTCTGGAATATCATATTCTCGGAGCTACAACAACCCCAGGGAGCCAATCAAATTCCTGACTGGCTGACCAAGGATGATCAGAATGTCATGGATCCCTGGGAAGAAGAACGATCTTGGAGAGACCCCACAGCACATCGGGTTGGGGGTGCTGCTGTAAGCTGGCTAGATACATTTCACCACCGCAAAATCATCGTTTCGGTAGGTCTTCTAGTTAGCACTTCAACTAGTGTCCTATTAACGATGTGACATAGGAACAAAAATCGTCTGATCGGTTTGATCCCGTCACGTTCGAAGCTCAGATCCTCCTCACTCTCAGACAATGTACATCTTTGGCGGAAAAACATAATCGCGAGTTGGTGACATACTCCATTTCAATCGCAAGTCCAGATGCTCTATCACAATTGCCGAAATATAAGCTTCAGGCGTGGTTGACGCTGTTCAGCAAGTTTAGCAATCCCAAGGCTCTGCACTCCACAGATACACTACGAGAACTGTACCTCTCCCTCCTATCCCATCCCGATCGGGAACTGCAAAAGGTATCCTTATCCTGTCTGCTCGCGTACAAGTCGCCCCACCTCCAGCATCACCAGGCGAAGTTAGGCTTACTACTCGACGAAACAAAATGGAGAGACGAGTTGACGTCTTTGCATATGTCATTGATAGAGATCAAAGACCGGCCTCAAGTAGTGGACATCATCGTCTGTCTGTTATATGGCCTTATGTTGGAAAAGAAGGGTCGCTCTAGAGGCAGTGATCGTCGAGCTGCCGTGCTGACAGCACTCGCAGGATGCACAGACGAGGAGCTCTATTTTCTAGTGGATCTGATGTTGAAACCCATGCAAGTGGACAGCCATGCTCGCCAGGACAACCTCTTCTCACTGCACCCTATTTCCTCAGACATCCCGTTAAAGCAGCAGTCTGGTTACCTGACTTTGTTGGGTGATGTGCTGAAGAACCTTGGGTCGAGATTAACCACATATTGGCCGGCTTTACTCGGGACCACACTTGATATAGTTGCTAATGCTCAGAATCATTTGTCGAATGTGACGGCAGTCGATGCGGATGGGCAGGTGGAAGATGAAGCAAATGAGGAGGAGAGCAAATCTGGAGAAGTATCCAATTCCAGAGTTTTGCGTTATTTAAGGCAGCAAGGCCTCAGGCGGCTTGCAGAATTTTTCCGCTACCCCGTCGAATTTGACTTCACGTCCTATCTCTCTGCATCATTTCCCGCTATTGTGGCTCCACTACTAAACATATTGAATGTGCCATGAGCTGCTCACTAGTCTTTCTTCACTTCTGCCTTGCGAAGAGATAATTTGAGGTGTAGAGCTTGGAGCAGAAAGAATCTGTCCCTGGTAATGAGTCATGGAAACGAAAAAAGTCAAATATTCTTTCATATGGTTGTTGCTCCATTGTAAGATGCATGTCAAGATGGCATGTCCCTATATTCTTCAAGAAACAGAACATATCATATATGAAAATGATCTCCTTGCCAATTTTGATGGCACCTGACATCACATTATAATGCATTGTCAAGTCAATGTCACAATTCTTATTTTGCAAGTACATACAACTACTTGATAACATGAAACAAAGTCACAAATAAGATTGATCACCAACCAGCCAATTATAGTGTATGATAGATCACTTGTCACCTTGATATCTACTTATAAGATGTATATCAAAATGACATTCTTTGGCATAGCTATATATTCTTTCATATATTTGTTGCATATTTGTAAGGCGCATATCAAAATGAGGTGCCCCCGACATAGTCATGTATTCTTCCATATATTTGTTGCATATTTGTAAGATTCATATCAAAATGAGATGCCCCAGGCATAGCTATATGTTTTTTCATATTTTTGTTGCATATTTATAAGATGCATATCAAAATGAGATTCCCTGACATAGCTATATATTCTTTCATATATTTGTTGCATATTTGTAAGGCGCATATCAAAATGAGGTGCCCCCGACATAGTCATGTATTCTTCCATATATTTGTTGCATATTTGTAAGATTCATATCAAAATGAGATGCCCCCAGCATAGCTAGATGTTCTTTCATATTTTTGTTGCATATTTACAAGATGCATATCAAAATGATATGCTCCAGGCAAAGCTGTATATTCTCTAATATATGTGATGCATCCTTGCAATGCGCACATCACAATGACATGCTCCAGGCAAAGCCATATATTCTCTAATATATGTGATGCATCCTCGCAATGCGCACATCACAATGACATGTCCCAGGCAAAGCCATATATTCTCTAATATATGTGATGCATCCTCGCAATGCGCACATCACAATGACATGTCCAAGGCAAAGCCATATATTCTCTAATATATGTGATGCGTCCTCGCAATGCGCACATCACAATGACATGCTCCAGGCAAAGCCATATATTCTCTAATATATGTGATGCATCCTCGCAATGCTCACATCACAATGACATGTCCCAGGCAAAGCCATATATTCTCTAATATATGTGATGCATCCTCGCAATGCGCACATCACAATGACATGTCCAAGGCAAAGCCATATATTCTCTCATATATGTGATGCGTCCGCACAATGCACACATCACAATGACATGCCCCAGGCAAAGCTGTATATTCTCTCATATATGTGATGCATCCTCGCAATGCACACATCACAATGACATGTCCCAGGCAAAGCCATATATTCTCTAATATATGTGATGCGTCCTCGCAATGCGCACATCACAATGACATGCCCCAGGCAAAGTCATATATTCTTTCCTATACATGTTGTACAAACATAATAGTATTTAATTCCAAATCTAGATGTATCATAATGGGTTGTATTTGTCAGGTCTACCTGGTCATATCAATTCCGGGTTGATTTCCTGATGACTAGACACATCTAGAAGGTCATCGCCATACTCATTGCCATCCTCAACCACCGGAAACCCGAGAAACAACGTGCCTTGGAGTTACTAATTTAGAACCCTGAATCCAAAATAATCCAACGTTCAATCACAGCTGACTTGAATCAGTGTTTGAAAAGGTTGATTATCTTCAATGCCATTGCGAATCGCACGTACCCATGAATTATGATGCAGAGCAGATCAAAGGAAGCCTCGGATCGGATCTCCGCTACAAACTTTCCAGGGAACCGTTGGGTGGAATACTATGTACGTCTTCGGGTGACAACTTAATTGAAATTCGAGGACATGAGCCAATCAAGTAAATCAGGTGAACCGTGTATGTCGTCTTCCTATCTGCTGCGTGGACCCCTGAAACAATTGCGACCAGGTTCGTTGACTGATATAGAACATTGCGGCGACACGACTTGGACGCGCGAGCCTATTTGTTTAGATTGACAAGCAAGGTACTTATGATAACCGCCTCATGTTTTGGGCGTCCGGTGAGAGGGTAATGCTATAAGGCAGGTTTAAAACACCTCATCACACGCAACTCTGCAATCTAGAGCAAGACCTATCCCCCAAACACACAAAGTCCACCTCGACTGTGCTGCAGCTTCACTAAAATGGCGGCGCTCGTTCCAAACATCACACCCACTCGAGCATTTGAAGATCACGAGGATCGCGTGATAGCACTCGCAGTCTTCCCCAACCGTGACGAACACATGGTCACAGGTTCATATGACAGGATGCTGTGGAGGAACGATACACGCGGGAGGTTTTACGACACGCTAGAACAAAGGTACGAGTCTCAGTATTCGTTTCGAATCTCTATTAACAATTGTTTGTACCTAGAACAAAGGTACGACTAGATGTACGTCAGCGCTTGCGCTCGAACGTTACAGTGGGACTTGTACTTACGTCTCAGTATTCGTTTCGAATCTGAGACGTTTCGACGAAAACAGCGTCCTCTTATACGGTGAGTCTGCCAGCAATAGCTTTGATGAAAAATATATACTTAAAGAACGAAAAGATTGCCGACGTTGACACGTCGTCGACGTTCTCCGTTTGGAGACGCTCGCACTCGATGTGCTCTATTCTTCGGCCGTATCGTCCTTTCCTTTCTCAGCTCTCTCTCTCTCGGCCTTACTTCCCTCGGACACATCGGCTCTCAACACTCCCCCTCGAGCGTTATCCAAACACATCAATGTCCTCAACCTCTGGAGTCGGGGACGTGCCAATGGCTTCGTGAACGCGTCCGCGACGTTGTCGTCACTGGGGCAGTAGATTATCTTGAAGGTACCGTCCTTCACGTGGCCGCGTACGAAGTGGTATCGCAGGTCTATGTGCTTGGTGCGCGATTGGAATTTTCCCATCGAGACTAACGCTATAGCAGCTTGGTTGTCGCAGAAGACGGGTGTGGGGAGGTCTTGGACGTCGTAGAGCTCGCGGATGAGGAGTTGCAGGTAAAGTACTTCCCTTGCCACGCTGGTCAACGCTATGTACTCAGCTTCAGCTGTTGACAGGGCTATGATAGGCTGTTTGCGCGCGCTCCACGAAACGGGGCCTCCATGGAGCAGTACGATGTACCCGCTCATGGAGTGCCTATGTGGCTGCGATGCCCAATCGGCATCGACAAACG